ATGCACAAACAATGAATCATGGAACACTTCATCTAAAACTAATGATGTAATGTATGGGGATTAACATAAGAATAAAAAAAAAAAAAAGAGGGGACTACCGTAATAATAACCCAACATTAACACTTATTGAGTACATATTAAGCACCAGGCTTAAGTGCCAGGCAGGATTGACGTCAAGAAAAAAGTTTTAGGCAGATTTACAAATATTATATATTAGCTTAGTATCCCCAACTCACTATTTTGCTCTTTAAAATAAAGCCCCACACATCCCATTTATTTCAGAATTAAGAAAACAGAGACACACCTCTGTGCCAGTAACCATGCCAAAGAGTGTGTCAGCCAATAATATTTATGAAACTCACCATGCAGCTGACAGGCCCACATATTATGAAGTAGAAATTTTCGGAGAGGGTACATTTTAATTCAATAAAATTTTCTATGAAAGAAAAGCTTGCAGGTATAGACACCCTTTTATTTAGAAAGTCTATCCTCTTAGAAAGAATCTGGTTCAGTTATAATGGTGGGGAAAATAATACAAAAAAACAACGGTTCAAAACTGACAGTAAATTCACCTCAAAGCAAAACTATTTCTTTGCTTGGTTAATGTGGCATAAGAGAAAGCCTGACTAGCAGGTATAATTAAAGTATGAATCACAGGATAAGTCATGAGTAAACCTGAGAGCACCTATAGGAAAAAAAAAAGAAAGTCTATTATAACATACTAAACTTTAGAGACTAAAGAATGCAGGGTAGGAGGAAAATCCTAATTCCATGTAAATGCAATTATGGGCCTGATTGGAAACACCGATAATGGCGTTGGTACATTATCGGTCCAGCATCTGTGTGAGGCTCTGTAACACAGCATATTCCACTTCATGTATTATAGGTACTCATTCTCCATGTTTTTTATTCTGAAAATTGCTTGAGGTCAGGTACCATGCTTTGCTTTGTTTATTTCTCCATGTAAATTACTTCTCTACTCAGATCCTAATAATGTAGACAGTAGGCATAAAACATGCAATTACACACTTGAAAGGGTGAATGATAACCCATATCTTAGAGTCTAGAATAATTCTGTCCTGACATATAAGACTTTAAAAAAAATGAAAATTGACATCCAACATATTAAATGCTACTTATCAAAGATTGTTGATACATTTTTAAAGAATTAATCATGGGATTTTTATTTAATGAAAAACAGGAAAAGGTTGTTATATTTTATCCTATTTCATACCTCAGCAGTTGGCATTGGATTTAGTTGCTTGGAGAAACAATATGGCAAAAGTTGAAAGGAAACTATTTGTTTGGCCTTACTTGTTTTTTTGTCTTTCAGGCTGTGTGATGAATAGATATAAAATCACCTCAGGTGAAAAACAGCCCCACTGCAGCTTGGGTCATTCCCTTGACTTAAAAATAGCATTATTGTCCCCCATCCAACCCCACCTACCCAAATGAGGAGCATTTAAGTGACAGACATATAGGTTAGACACTGGAGTTAAAATAACTAATGATTGGAGATTCTGCAGTATTTAGAGGTATAATGATACAAATATGGATGGAAGGTTTTTAAGTCCAATTTCCTTGGCTCAGAAGAATTTAAATCAAAGCCATCAAATATATTGTTTACATCATCTTAGTTCAAGGTTTATGTACTATTTTTAATGTTCATGTGTACTTCTTAAAATTTTTTTGAAACTAAAAGACTTGACAGTCTCTGAGACTTAATTGGGAAAAATGTAAAGCACATTAATGGAATTTTTCCCATGATCTGTGGAAGAGTTTTTTTAACAGATGGCTCACATGGACAAAGCAATGAAAACACAGAAATTAAAAGCAGATCCTTAAGAAAAATAACTGAGTTCTCAGAAATACTATAGATGATGGCAGGACTAGATGTAAGGCACCACCTTCTTTTGCTGTCAAGGTTTGGAGAGAACAGAAATTTATTAGGTGATCGTCTATCAGGGAAGGGGTAACTGACTCTTGGTAGGAATTAACTATTCATTTGGAACTCCAGCCAATTTCAACACTCTGAAAATCCTCATGCTTGTAGGATAATTCCATACAAGTGCCAATAAAATATACAGTATTGTGATCTAGGTAGTCTTCTAGAAGTAGGAACACCTAAGTCCCAGGTACGTAGTTAGGGGGATGGGGATGACTTAAAATCTTCCCATTTTCACAGCAACTTGGAAAAACAACAAACATCCCAAGGCCCATGAAAGCTTTTCATTTGCAGTATAAAAACTGACTTTCTTGGATCAAGGAATTGAGCGGTGGCAGGAAAACTTTTCAACCTGGAATTTACATGCATTCCGTGGAGACATGAAATAAAATCTAAACTAACGCTAGAAAGTAGCATCTTCCAATCACTCTTCAAAATGATTTCTCAAACTTTAAGGAAAATTAATGTTGGTTTCTCTCCCTGACAATTTTTAGGGAGTGGGTGGCGAGGAGGAGGGGTAGGGGAGGTACGTTGGGAGATTGAGATCCTTTTGGGGCGTGGAGGACCCCAAAGTGTCGCCAAGGGCTAGTCAGATCCAGGTGCTGGGGGAGACAGAGTTGACGCCCCAGGCGAAGGCACGAGCGCTACTGCGCCGCAGCCTCGCGCAGCCCGGGAGCCTAGTGCGGGCGGGTGGGTGGCGGTGGGAGGGTGACTGGGAGAAGGGGCGGGGTGGCGTGGGGTAGGAGTGCGACGGCGGGAGGAGGGTCTCCCAGCCCGGGCCCGATTCGCAAGCTCTCTGAGCCTGCGTCCGCCTAGAGGGAGGGCTTCCCTGGCCCGGCCAGAGTGGCTCAAAGCACAAACGACTGTCAAGAGTGTAGGCGAGTGGAGGTGCCGGAAGTGTCTGCGCGCCGTGAGATAACTTTCCTGCTCCGGCTGCGGCCCGGAGCCTCCACCGCCTCGGTGTTGGCAGCGACGATGCGCCCTGATGACAACGACCTGAGCGGACTCGCGCCTCGGCCCACCGCTAGAGTCTGCACACTCCTCACCGCAGGAGAAGACTGAGTCCAGAGGCGTCCACGCGCCGCGGGAGCCCTGTGCTGGCAGCGCGGCGCTCGGGGCCCATTTCCTTTGCTCCGTCCTCTAGCGTCTTGGCCGGTTCCCCGCGATCGCGCGTCCTCAGCGCCGGCCGCGGTCGCCGGCTGTTCCCGCCCTCACCGCCGGCCGGGACGTGCCCCGGGTGGCTGCTGGTAGCGTCTGTGCCATGGGGCTGCCTACTCTGGAGTTCAGCGATTCCTACTTGGACAGCCCGGATTTTAGGGAGCGCCTGCAGTGTCACGAGATTGAACTGGAGCGAACCAACAAGTTCATCAAAGAGCTCATTAAGGACGGCTCTCTGCTCATTGGGGCGCTGAGGAGTAAGTGGAGCTGGCAGGGGCGGGAGGAGAGGGCGCAGGGATGTGGCGACTTCCCGCGGAGTGCGGGTCTCAGGGGTGGGATGAAGGACTCGGGGCTTCTTTTGTTTGAATGGGTTTGGGACAAAAGCTGAAGAGCTCCCCTGCTGGTGGCAAACAAAGTTTGTGCTTAGGTGTTCTTTACTTATATACTTTAATGTCTACAGAGAAGGGAAAGTTACCCACTGCAGCGAGGAGTAGATCCTGAAGAACGTTGTTCGAAGTCATCTTTTTTTATAACGCTCCTGAAAAATGGTTGGGAGACTATTGGCCCTTTTTTGTTGGTTTGTTTGTAATTTTATTGTGCCTAGTTTGAACACTTTTTAAAAAGGTCCTTAAGGTGGGTTTCAAGAGTTTGGCTTAAGGATAAAATGAAGCTAGTTTGTTTAGTGATACTCAAAGTAATTTCTTATGTGTATCAGTGACTCTTCACCGGGCACAATAGATCATTGAATTGCATTTGCAATTTTGCCATTTAGTAGGATGATCGAGATGATCGAAGACAGCATGGCACCAGTGGATTTAATCTCTTTACAAGTTTTTTTGTGCGTCTTAATTTTTGGTTTGTATTGTAAATCTGATGTCAGTCGAGTCACTGGGATTGAAGTTCAGTGGTTAAAGGCCAACCAGAATTTCTGATGATTATTTAAGTAAACTATCCTTAGGGATTTTTCCCACTTCCTTTCCCGAGCAGATTTTCCTTACTACCTCCTGAGTCTGCTGGATCTTCACGTTCAAGTAGTAAGACCTAGGAGAGTCTTGGTAAAAGAAACTCGAGTTTGTCTTTAAGAAAACGGAGTGATCGGCCTTCGGCTCAGGTCATGATCCCAAGGTCCTGGGATCTAGTCCCGCATGGGGCTCCTTGCTCAGCCGGGAGCCAGCTTCTCCCTCTGCTCCTCCCCCACCCCCACTCATTTTCGCTCTAAATAAAATCTTAAAAAAAAAAAAAAAAAAGAAAATGGGAGTGATTTAACTGATAAGGTTTAATTTGTTACCTTTCCCAGGACGTATTTGCATCTTATTGGAGATTTCTGAAGGTTTTAGCTATTGAAATGAAGCCCTGGACTCTCTGGCCTCTAATGGCTGGGTGAGTGAGGTATTTTCATTGCATGGAGAGCCTTGGAGCATCTAGAAATACCCAGGGCACATGTAGTAGAACCATCATCGAGTGTATCAGTTGGAAGGTCAGTAACAACATAATGGGGATGTATTTGCTTGAAACTGAGCCATTAGCATCTGATCTGTATTTTGAAGCATGTATTAATGGTAAGGATGGGGCTTATCAAACATGTCTTAGAATTAGTGCGCTCCCAAATCCTTTTTTAACCATCCCCAATGCTAAAACATTTATGTATTACTTGTGCTACTTTAAACTAGGATAAAATATGATTTATGCCTACATTCACTGAATTTCTGAATTTGAGGTTAGTACTGATAACGGTATTTACTGATCTGTGAAAAAATAATTTATCTGCAGTTCTTTTCATCCTGTGCATACACAAATGTGAACTCTCCTTCCTTCTGGTTTGCAGTTTCTGGTTGAGGGTCTCAGGACTGGCCTCTTCACATTTTAGCCTCTCCCAAGAGTTTCCCCATCTCAGTGCTAAATGCCCAGCTGCCCCTTGTGGAGCCGCCACCTGGTTTACAAAGTGACATTTTCTCCTCACTCCGCTCTTGGGAGATCAATTTTAGTGTTTCAAAAGTTGAAAACACTTCCATAGCTGTGATAAAAGCCCTGAAAATGCATATTATTTTACTAGTGAGATTATGTACTTTATTACGATTTTTGAATCTAGTCTTGCAAAAATCAGGTGATTCCCATCCTGATAAGTTTGTTCTTCCATATGTAAAGTGAAGAAATCTTGAGAGTGTAAGTTCCTTGAACATACAGAACCCGTCTCATTAATTTGGTCTTACGCACTTAAATACACAACCTGCTGTCTTCTAGTATTCTTAGGTTTGTGATGAGAGTGCATTATTTTAATGCTTGGTTATTGTTTATCTCATTACGGGAGGAAAACGTATTGCTCCTTATTGAAAGAATTCCCAGCATCGGTTGCCAAATAAAGATTTGGAGTAGAGGAACTCTTGAAGTCACGTGATGGCCCTGCTTTTTTCCTCACCATGCCACCTTCTGTCCCTTGGGGAGGATGCTAGGCTGTAAGCGGCTAAGTCCACTAAGTGGACTAAGTCCACTTAGCCCTCTGAAGTTGCTCAGCTAGGATAAGAGTGTGCCTAAAGGACTTTGAAGCCTGCTTTTGGTTTTATCCCAGAATCACCAAGAAGCCCTCCTTTCCCCAGTTCTGTCCCTTGTTTCTTCTCTGCCAGAGGAAGTCTTTATCTTCCCTAATTTTATGCCTTTCCATTCTCTGTACCTACTGTTTTAGTAAGTGTACCCATTACCCAGGTCAGTTTTATTTTTTGCACTTTGCTGTTATTGTCATTAATAATTAATGGTTTCTTAATATAGCCTTCCTGAAAGGACAATCATCATGCATTTCTAAGCATCTTATATTATTTCCATCCTAGTTCATAGCTTTTCTGGTGAGAATTTTGGCATGCACTCTTGGCTAATACATGCATAGCTGTTTCAATAGGAGTCACAAATGCTCTTTGATTTTTCCTTCAGGATGTAGGTATTGTGAGAATTAATAAAAGGGAAACCACACTGATGGCAGGCTGGGCATGTTAGAAGAGGCTGGTAGGTACCACTCAATGTCAATTATAGGAAGTTTTGTCAGTTACAGACCCCTAATAGAAGAATCTCAATAGGAGAGAATCATCAGTTATAGGCCCCAACAGGGAAAGATGTACATTGCATTTCCTACAAGAAATCAACTACCCCTGCAACTCATCTAATGAGAAACCATCATCACTTTGAACTCTCGCTTTTCTGCAGTGGACTTTTATTCAAAACAACCCCTCTTAACTTCCTCTTCCTTCTCCATAAAATAACATTGCTCCTTGTTTTTTGGACTTAGCTGTGGTTTTGCCTAGCTTGCTTGTCCAGGATTGCAATTCTGTTACTCCCAAATAAACCCATTTTGCTGGTAAAATTACAGGCAGTTTTATTTTTAAGGTTAATAGTTTCTTAGTAGAGTATTTGGAAGGGTCCTTATAAAGGAAAACCTTGACTAGATGATTTCAATTTTAAATAATATAAGTAAGATACTTAACATTTTTAAAATGAATGATTGCATATCCAATCTGAGAAAATGTGTGACAGCTCATTAAGTGGATTGACATAGACCTGAATTTAAATTCTGGTGCTGGTAAATGCTGTGTGGTAATTGGCAAATAACTTAACCTCTCTAGGTCCTACTTTTCCTATAAAATGAGGGAAGACTATAAAAATCTTACCACTAGGATTATTTGTTCATTTTGTTACATGCTGTATAGACCTTTGGTGAGCAATATTTGAGAATATTTGATTCTGGAGAATCAGGTTTTAGTTCATGCTGTGACTCAAAATCCTCTCCCTTTTTCATCAAATGTTTTTCTAGGAACTTTGTTCCTTTAACAGGTGTCTTAAAATTTGAGTTGTGAAATCATACGCTGTTTTTGCTTATTGATTTTCTTCTTTTATAGATCATATTCAAAGAAACACCTCAAAATGGCTTTCTCATGTAATTCCTCCTTTACTTTCTCTTTTCTTAATTCTTTATACTTTTGAATATTTAAATAGAGCTTTGTCCTTGCAAGAATAGACTTCCCTGGGGCGCCTGGGTGGCTCAGTTGGGTAAGTGTCTGCCTTCTGCTCAGGTCATGATGGGGTCCTGGGATCAAGCCCCATGTGTTTGGCTCCCTGCTCACTGGGGAGTCTGCTTCTCCCTATCCCTCTGCCCATCTGCCCGCTTGTGGTCTCTCTCTAATAAATAAATAAAATCTTTTTTAAAAAAAGGAATAGACTTTCCCTCCTCCCCAAAACAGCAAAGAGCAAAAAGAAATAGACAAATAGAATTGTAGTCATTTAATTGAATTATTGGGTGGGGAGAGCATATCAACATTTTTTTTCTTCTACCCTGCCTTTTGGCATCTTGGGGCCCTCTCTCCCTCCTTCCCTCCCTCTCTCTCCCTCCTCGCTCCCTTCCTTCCTTCCTTCCCATTAAGTTTTTAATTTTAATTTCAGTATAGTTAACGTACAGTGTTAGTTTCAGGTGTACAATATAGTGATTCAACAATTCTATACATTACTCCGTGCCTGTTGTGGTAAGTGCCCTCTTTAATCCCCATCACCTATTTCACCCATTCCCCCACCCACCTTCCCTCTGGTAGCCATCAGTTTGTTCTCTATAGTTCAGAGTCTGGTTCTTGCTTTGTCTCTCTCTCTCTCTCTTTCTCTCTCTCCTATTTTTTTGGGGGGGGGAATGTGGTATATATACACAATGGAATATTATTTAGCCATAAAAAGTGAAATCTTGCTATTTGCAACAACATGGATGGAGCTAGAGAATATAAGCAAAGTGAAATAAATCAGTCAGAGAAAGACAACTATCCTATGATTTCACTCGTAGAATCTAAGAAACAAACAATTTAAGAAACAAAACAAACTTCTTTCTTATTACTAGTGCTTCCTCTCATTGCCTTAGGGTGGAATTGGCCAGCTGTCTTTTCTTCATTTAGGATAATGTTTCTCAAACCTGTGTGTCTAGGCTTCTTCTTGAGGGAAAAAAAAGTTAGTGGACCCCAATATAGATTCAGTTATTTATTATGGTAGTTAAATATATATAAGCATGAAGCAAATTCTTGTGCTTAGTCCTATAATTTTAAAAACAAATCAACTTATGAATTAAATACAAATAATACTGTGAAACCAATAAAACTACATTTAGTTAATCTAATGGATGATGATGATTTTACTGAAAGGAAAGGAAATTTCCTCTCATATAAAGACTGTTGATAATATCTTGTGTGCTGGATGATTCATTTCTCTTTGCTTTTCCCAGTTGGAACTATAGTTCTTC